ATCATCACTACATATTAGTAACACCAACCTTCTAAACCAAAGCCATATCAAATAGTCTCAATGAATATGTAATCACCGAAATGACTGACTTTGACACTATTTACTAAGCGAAAAAGTGATACACTTTTGGATCGCAGAAGTTTTCAAGTAGGATTTCTTGTGACCTTGAGCATACTCGATAATTGTCATAATATGTAATATTGAAAGGGTTGTGGGGATTTGGAAATATTTCACATTGTTGTTTATCGTAGACTGACATCAGTTGGAGGAATAAAGGAAACCTGGGAGCACTGGAGAGCTGTTTCGTCCAGCTAGTATGGGACTCCTTAGCAGTGCGCACCCATGACCCCACCAGGGATCGAAACACGAGACCTTCAGGTTCCGTGGCCACCACGTTACCATTGAACCACCATTGTTCCTCCAACTGATGTCGGTCAGTCTACGATGAATAACAACCTGAAATATTATGTAATAACCTAATTAAGATTAGGAAGTAAAACAGCCTTATATGACGTGAATTCAGTGATTTCATGGACAAAATGTTTGATTTTCAGCATATTCGACTGATTTGCTTAGTTGGTTAACGTATATCAATCACCCTTCTGACATTATATAGGCTAGATCTAAGCGTAATTACATCCTACTCATCTGCAGAATGTAATTCGAAGACACAGATTATCTGAAAAAGTAATATATTGGCTCTATACATTTCGAGCAAACTGATCACACACTAACTTGTTAAGGAATCTTATATGAAGACTGAAAGTGGGACAGAGACACATGACACAAATAAATTTAATAATGATAAAAGTAATGAACGGCATATGATAAGATTTGAAGGGAACGAAGGCAATACGATAAGATAACCATTACTAGGGTAGGTTTAACACAAAGATAAAAACGGTTTTAAAATGCACGATGGGGTCTTAAGTGTTCGAATCGCTATTGTTTCAGTATTAATCCTGTGATATTTTGCAATGGATGATGATGATTGTCTGCCAGCTGCGCTTATCGATGTTTGTTATCTTGTGGCCATTTTAACACATATACCATTACCCTCAAGTGGATATCTCGATTAGTCCTCCTATATATGTGAGTCCACATACACATGCAAAGTGGTACAGGTAGTGGGACTTGACGTAATCGTTTATACTGTGTTGAGGTTTGTATTGTAACATTTGTTCGGTCTCCTCAAATACAATAGGCTAAGCTGCATAGTATATTTTTTCTAATGGTAGACCTTAGCCTTCGTTTTAAAATTACACTATAGATTCCCCTCTATATGGTAGGGCGATTTAAAAGTATTGCTTCGGAGACGGGAACAAAGTGGGTTTCAACGTTGGCTGATTTTTGTAACTATTTATGAACTTCAATGGATGGCCATTTCCCACTGATTTTTCTGTTAGTATTTCAATGTCATCATTCATTGAGTCTTATAAACAGATACGCCGGATCCTGTAAAATGCTTTAACAAGTAAATGTGTGATTAGATTGTTCAAAATTGTATACCGTAAATACATCACATTTCTCAGATATTCTACGTCTTATAATTATTATATATTATAATTTTATTTTTCCCTTGGGTTCCTAATGGAACATAGGGTTTCAGTATCACGCCTCCATTCCACTCTCTTCTCAGAAGTCTTTTCAACCTGGCACCACGACTGCTCACAAGCTTTCATGTCTTTCTCACATTATCTCCATGTCATCCTCGCCCCGGAAAATTAACTCATCGTCGGCGCGTGATGTCCAATCCAATCCATCTCCACTTTCTTCTTCTATATACTTGTTGGGCGATAGGTTCTTGGTTGCTTCGTTCATAACTGCTTATACTTTCTGGCCATCTGATCTTGAGTATCGATTGAGCTTAGGTGGGCAGCTGTTGATATATGTGTGCAGTTTGTTGGAAATGCTTTTCGTGACGCGTCAAGTTTCTGAACCATATAACAGCACTGACTTGACTAGATTGGTGTTAAAAATCCGGATGTTGTTCTTTGTGTTGAGTGCAGTACGTCTTATAATTGCGCTATCCATATTCATAAACGGTAATAGTTGTTTGAAATTCCTACTAATCTATTAATTGAAATGTCACGAACTGGGGAATTTGTTTACGTGCTAATTTCTCTTTAACATGGTATATTCCTTCATTAACAGTAACTCAGTAGTGGCTAGTTCGAATCCTGGCACGATCCAAACTTTCATTTCAACTTCAATCATCACACAGCATCAATACAAGTCTATCAAACCACAGGTATCTCAAATAGTCAAACTGATAATCATACTTATATTTTGAAAAGCTAGTGAGTACATCGAAAGACAATATCGGGTTACATAGACGCGACTTCGACACGTCAGATATAGGAATTATAAAAAACACAATGTAATAGGAGAGTAAAATTGTGTAAAATATGAAAAGAAATTACTTCAAGCAGTTGTAAATTTCGTGTTTGCTTACCTTGACGTTCAAAATCAACACACAATAACATACTACTTATTAGTAGATCAACAAAAAATACTAATTATCTAACTGATCCTGAAATGAATCACTACCAGATGCCAGTAAAAATTGCCAGTGCTAGGAGTCTGGCACAGAAGTACATCAGTTCAAGTTGCCACACTTCATAACAGTATGCAAAAAATAAGTGGGTAAAAAAACAAGTCACTTCAGAGTAGACAAACGTTTATGGAGGGAGAAAAGACTCAAAAGAAGTAGGTTAGTCAAAATGCTAAAACTTTATAAGACATCAGACATTTCAGTCACTGTGACTGATATTTACCTATGTCAAATAAGGTCTCCAACCATTTTTTTCTGTCATCTGGATAACCATAAATAAATAGTCTACCCCTCCCTGTATGCCTGAGCCCAATAATCAGAGACTCCGTAAACTAGTACCATAGCTTCATTTGGCTACCCTCATCCTTCTCCCATCACAACCATGCTTGAGCTAACATTGAATGTCGAGGTTGGAGGTGGCTGAATATGAGTAGCAAACGTCTTAGACACAGATCGGTGAAGTTTGGCAACCTCGTTGACTAACCTTCTTGTCTAGCACTATTCACTCAACTTTGACATAGTTCACACGGTGGTTCCATCATACACCAGCTATGCTGTGAATGCACGTGTGGTCAAAGATCAATAATCTCTTCACGACTACTGTAAGCTGACGTGTCTCACAGACGTATGAAAAAGGTAGAACTGACTGTAGTGCAATATACTCGTTTTTTAACAGGTAGTCGGTTATCTCGTGGACGACAGGAATGACGGAATTGGCCAAATGCTAAACGGGACTTTTGTAATCTGAATTGGGATCACGTCAGCAACCAACGCGTTCGATCTTTAGCAAACAAGTGGAGTGATCAACACATCCCGTCATGTCGCTCTCTATCATTAACCTGAGAGTGACTGAAAACCAATCTTGAAGCGTAATCTTACGTTTGACAGGTTTATGCTCAAGGCGCTAAGAAGATCCCACATTTTAACTGTTGTCTGCATAATACAAGTCAACCAGGTGCCCTGACAGGGAATGGATGGATCTCAATAAGTATGGAGATACCTGAGTCAGTGTCCATTAGTGTGTGTATAACAAAGTGAAACAGCTTCAGTAACATCAGGCCCCTCCCCCCTGTCACATAAAAAATTAAGATTGTAGCACCTCATGAGCTAATCTGAAAGGGTTACTGAGCATAGGAGAAACAGAAAGTAGGGATGTTATTCACAATTCATTTGCAACTATAATAGGCACTGGAATTATCAGTTCACCAGAATCCAAAGTGTGACTAAGACTTCGATGTTATAGGGTAAGGGCTATTAGTGACTGCTGTACATTATCACCTAGGTTCAGTTGTTTTGTTTACAGCTGCTTTCAGACTTTACTAAGATGGTTTCTGAGACTGCCAACATCCACAAATTACATTAGAAATGAAATAAACTCTGTTGGTTTATATTTCTTAAAGATTATGTTAGCGTAAATACTGTAATGATTTGACCAATAAATATGTCTTATATGTATAATCGCATAATTACAACATGACTATCTTAAACTTCATCTCATTCATGTCAGTATCTAATTTGATATAAAGTTTATATTCGTCACGGACTGACATCAGCTGGAGAACAGCTAAACCTCTTGGAGTACTAGATGACCATTTCGTCTTAGTATGTGGAATCCTCAGCACTGTGCACTCAATGACCTCAACAGGGATCGAACCCAGGGATGTCAGACTCAGAGGTCAACACGTTGTCAACCAGCCACTGGGTCGGGATGCAATGGTCATTATTTTGGTCCTTCTATTAGCTTGCGATATGGCGTCACCTTCGCCCAAGTACCAGTCCTTACATGCGACTTGGTTCGTCACACAAGTCATGAATTTTCATTCGAAATTCCAGATAAGATTCCCACAGCCTATAGGTTCAAGTTTCGATCCCAGGTGGGGTCATGAGTGCCCAATGCTGAAGAGTCGTACGCTTAAAAGAAACGGTTATCTAATACTTCTAGGATCTCAATGGTTCTCCATACTGACGTCAGTCTGTGAAATCCCTAAAATGTGTGTGTGTGTGTATGTTCTACATCATTAGTAGGATTCCAATTCCCATTAAATATTCATAAAGTAAGCTGTATCCCTATGTTGTACAGGCTTATTTCCCAAATCATGGTTACCAACGTAGTGAGAGACTAACCTTAATCTCCTTCTGATATTCTGTGTCTATGAGGTCTCTGGAGATTTCACTGGTTAGAATCCTATTTCCTTTTAAGCACAGTTTCTTGGCGATACGCTCAGAGAATAGAATAGACGCGCTCATCCCAGTCCTTCCAATGTAACTATTCAAGGAATACAATAAGTAAACTGACAATTTTGTTTCAGTCAATAAAGATAAAGTAAATTTTTCTTAGATCCACTTGTTTGCTTGAATATTTCCACTCAAGGAAATCAGTCTCTGAACTGTTTCAAAGCATTTTTCATCAATAAATTAACATATAACTTTTTTGACTTATTTTCAGGTATTTAACTGAAAAAGCGACAGCTTCATTGCAGGAAGCCGATGAATATGGTCGTCTACCTATACATGTTGCTGCTGTATTTGGTCAACCAGTAATTTTGTCTTATCTTATACGTGTCTTATCTACTCATCTTCATCCAGCCTCCGTTCCAAGTCAGTTTTTATCTGCATTAAATGACGATAGAGAATGCTCTATTGAAGAAGAAGAAGAAGAAGAAGACGGCAATGAAGCAGGTGGTCTAGTTAATATCAGTCACAAACCAGATAGAAATAAACTTCAGTCAAAATTATGTACACCTGATAAAGATTGTCCAATGAGTTTTCAACCGAGTGTTTTAAAAACAGTCGCAGCTGCAAATTATCTAGATATGAACCATTGGACACCTTTACATCATGCTAGTTGTGAAGATGCTGTAAACTATTATCATGATTGTTTGAAAATTCTATTAGATAATGGTGCTGATCCAATGTTGCCTACATCACAAGGTAAAACTGCATTGGATTTAGCATATGCTGCGGGTAGATCACAAATGTTAGTAGATGTTTTACCAAAAAGACAATTAATTGCTTTGCTTATGTTAATTGATGATATTGTTCCAATTAATATGAGAAAAAGAATGAATGAAGAGGAGAAACAAAAAGAACGTTCAGGTATAACTAGTATGTCACCTTGTGAACCATATATACCAATGAGTGTAAAAAGAGAGCATAGTCCAAGTTTATCAAATGATATGCATAAAAGATCTCGTAAAGGATATTCATTTATTCGTCGGATAGCTGATAAGATGGATACAAATGATACAACTGGTGGTCAAGGAAAAAGTTTTGGAAGAAGTTATACAGCTGATTGTACAAATGTAATGAGTATATGGCGTAAGATTATGCTGAATGATAATGTGGAATTATTGGAAACTTTAAGAGATTCTTTGGTATGGAGACAAAATAAACCAACTAATTTAACATCAGCAACAGATTTTAGTCGAATAGGTGATAGTTTAACTATGCCAACAGATCAAATATCATTAGATGATTTTGAAAGTGCTCAACAGATTAGTTTAAAGCAAATGTTTGAACTATTCTCTGATTGTTATGAAAATGGTACTGGAGTTTTTACACATGTTCAGGTTACATTTCAAGAAACGCTTAAAGCGCATGATTTTAAAACTGTTCTACAATCAATGACTGGTTTACTTACCTTCAATTCATTAAGTACTAATAAAATTGTAATTCTACGTCCAATGCATAGATCATTATTATTTTTAGCAATAATTTGTGGACGTTTTCGTGTAGTTGAACAATTAATTCGTATGAGACAATTCGATGTTCTACCAGCAAGTGTTTTAGTAACTCTAATTCTACGTCGTCTTCATAAGCATCCTAGTTTTCCACAACAAGTAAGATAACTAAATGATGGATAGATTTTATTTGATTTATATATAATGGATAATAATCATTTACTATATGAAGTGTATTTTGTATGTGTGATCCCTTGATACTGAACATGAGAATAATAAACAATTAAATAAACAAATATTTCATATTATTCCTCAACATATTGATCTATAACGTCATCTCAGACTAAGTAACTGATTTGATTATCTAATTAAACTGTCATAAGGATCATAATCATCATCATCATCATTATCAACATAGAACGAGGCATTAATGCGTAACGGTCCGAGTTGCCACACCTCATATTACCACATCAAGTAAAAGGTAGTGAGGTGAAGGATGAAGATAAGTGAATGCAGTCAAAAGAAATATAAAGTACGAGAAGAAAGGAAAGAGGAGTGACAAAATAGTGAGATTCGGTATAGCGTTGTTAAGATGAGGATAATGTGTGTATACATCTGCGCCACTGACTTCGGTTCTGAGCCATATCACCTAGGGTCTCCAACCACTGGTTCCTCTTGTCCCGCGGACCCCAACCACCTAGTCTGCATCGTCCTACATGGCTTAAACCAACAGTCAGAGACTTCATACATTGGTGCCATGTTTTAGTCTGGCCACCTCGGGCCTTTTTCCAGCCTGGACCCACCTCAGCCAACATTGTGTGACGAGGCAATCGGTGACTAGGCATACGTAGTACGTGCCCCAACCATCTCAGTCGATGAAGGTTCACAACCTCGTCGACTGACTTACCTCTTCTCCCCAAAACTCTACACCTAACTTCTGCATTACTCACATGGTGACACCACGGAATACGTCCTATACTACGAAGGCAACGGTGGTCAAATACCTGTAACCTTCTCATGTCTTCCACTTTCAATGGCCATGTTTCACAGCCATACAGTAGAACAGACCGGACTGCTGTGCAGTACACGCGACCCTTAATAGACAAACGAATATCATGGCGGCGCCATAGGTGGCGCAAATTGGCAAAAGCCAATCGAGCCTTTTGTATCCGTGCCGAAATCTCACCGGCAACTAACCCACCAGGGTTGATCCTACTTCCCAGGTAAGTGAAGTGGTCAACACACTCAACCACTTCACTCTCTATTGTTAGCCGTGGTACCGCTGAAGACCAGTCCTGGAGCAAAAATTTGCATTTGGGTGGTGAAAATCGCATAAGGATCATAAACATCAATATAGTTCACATAGTTTATTTAACAAGTTGGTCAAAGTAAGACAGGACAAAATTAGGGTGAAAAATTTCATTCAACTTTAAAATATACAATCGAGTGATGACATTTTCAGTAAGGAGTCAAGAAGTTAAATGTGCTAGGAATAAATTATATAGAGTAATGTGATAGAGTGTGTAGGGAAATCAAATCTTTGAAGATAAGATTAAAATCTGAGTTGCGGTAATATTCAAATCACCGGATCACTACTCCAGTGCTGTACTATTTAAGCTACGACATTCAGTTGTTTACTGGATGTTCACTTCACATATAAAGGGTTGTTAGAGCGATGAGCCAGCATTCTGAAAGCCATTGGTTTGAATCTCGTCATGACCCCGGTTTTCATTCCACCATAAGTCGTTACTCTATAGGAATACTATCAATCTGCCAAATAACAGTTACCTTAGTAGTCTCAATAATAAAAATCAAATTGTATCCAGTCTTCTCCTCATCATTTATTTGGAGCTTTTTATACAAGTCCTATTCCTGAGACATTCAGTTCGTCCTTTTTGTGGACCGCAGAAAGGTATGCAACGTCCTTTTCTTTGTGGGAAACGACCACGGAGCCTAAAGGACACGGATTTGACCCCTGACGGACTTGTGGGTGCTCACTACTGAGCAGTCGCATACTGGGACGAAACAGCTGTCCAGCGCTCCCACATTTCCAATGTTCTTCTAACTGATGTCAGTTCATCATGAATACCAAACTGAAAAATTAGTTCTTTGATAAATTTGTGTTGACTTAACAAGTGTATGTGGATGCGGAAATATTGAAGTTAATGGTTCCCACTTTAACACAGCCTTCCGCTTTTGTAGCTGTATGTGCTGTCGGGAAAAATGGACACGGTTAGGCATGATTACAGGTTTTCAATTTGAAGAGAGAAAGCTATGAACCTATACTGATCCCTTTCCAGTAAACCTCTGTTTGTCTAATCCTCTTCTGAATGGGTCAACCGATGACAATGATATCACTTCTTGTGGTGGCTGGTTCGAATAATTTATTACTCGACACGATAACCAGTACTCTATGGAGAAGACGCTCACCACTTACCTTTGTACTCACTCTCTCTCTCTCTCCCTGCTAGGTGCCCCAACGTGGTGGGAGGGAAAAGCGAAGGTAGATAAAGTCGAAAGTCTTATCTTAGAATCCTGTATGGCATGATTAAATCTCCTCTCAGTCCGTGATAACATAAATGGATACACTTAGCTCTTAAAATTGTTCTTCACAAGTCCGGGTAATCACAGCAACGATCATACAAGTGGCCTTCCTTTCATGTCTTTCAACAAGGTATAAGTGACCTTTCAAATAGGAAAGTTTCACGTAATACTAGAAGTGCTCCCTAAACTTCGAGCTACAACCAATGCACAGTACTCTGTGGTCTCCATTTCATAACTTACTATTATCGGTAGATGATCATGGGTTAAACACTGAGGATGGAGGAATCCTATTAACATCTTGAGTGATACCGTCTGTATGCTCACATACTCACCTGCATTGATAGACATCAACCATTTCTCAGACTCGGTTAACAAACTGTTTAGGTCTGTTTGAAGTACACGTTCACTGTCCTCATCTTTCACTTCTCATCAAATGTCAATGTTTTGTGAAAATAATGTTCCAGGAAAGAAATCATATTTGATGAGATGAAAAGTAGTTCGAATGAACTGAAATTTAATTCTTTATATCGTAACCTCAACTCTTGATTATAAAAGCTACTTGGTGATAAACATTACAGTATTACTACTTGAAAAGGCTATTACAAAGTACCGACTACTTCTACATTCTACTGTAATGTTTACCGCCAAGTGTTCCATATTGAATTACATAAAAGTAGAAGTCCGTTATTCGAGATAATAGAATATACTTTGGAATATTTGAACAAAGGTTAAGATAGATGATTAACTGTTGAGCTTACCATAGAAAAACTTAACCTAATTTGTTTAATACCATGAGTTGACGGTATATGCAAATGTATTTTTGGAGTATTTATATTGGTAGTGAATGAATGATGAGGGGGGGGGGAAAGGAAATTTGTATTGTGACGTGATCCGGATCAGTGACCTTGTCACCCAGTATGAATACAAGGCCGCCAAACTACATTTATCTGTAGTAATGATGGGTATTGGCTAGCAGTGGAGTCCAGGATGCAGATTTCGTCCTGTTTCTGACTCATTGGTCAGCTGGATATACCTCCCAATGAGTGATATGTTTCCCACCGAGATTCTTGGTCGGGAGCGATCGCTTCAAGCGCCAGAGCGTTATCTACTACACCACCAAGCCATGATAGCCACTGCTTGTGTGACGGGTATAGGTTTCACTGTTATTGCTTGTATGACACCGTCGTTGATTGGGCTAAATTGATCAGTCTCTTTTGGCATATGGACCCCTATGTGGATGCCTCGATATTGCCTGTCTTTTTAACTATGCATAGTAATGTTGGGTAGTGGCTAGCAGTGGAATCCAGGTTGCGCATTTCGTCCTATTTGGGACTCACTCGTCAGCTGTATGTACCTACTTCTCAATGTGTGATGTTGTTCCCACTGAGACTCTTCCTCGGGAGCGATCGCTTCAAGCACCAGAGCGTTATCCACTACACCACCGAACCACGATAACCGCTTCTTGTGTGACGGGTATACTTTTCTCAGTGTTATTGCTTGTACATTTTGTATATTTACTTCTGAATGATTTAGAAATTTATTTGTAATCTTTCTTTTTTTTAGATGTTGGGTGAATTGAGCGCTTTTGCTGATCGATTAGAATCTATAGCTGTTGATGTCTTGAATTTGGTATTCCTTAAAGATAATACACCAGAAAAAATGATATGTCGTTCAATGTTAAATGTACCATTACGTACATTTGGAGGAATCTCTTTGATAGATTTATGTGCTAAAGCAAAATGTACAAATGTACTAAGTTTATCATGTTGTCAAAGTCTTCTTGATGAACGTTGGCATGGAGTTTTAATTTGTCTACCAACATGGATGAGATGGTCATGTAAATTTTTTCCTATTGCCGGTATTGTTTACTTTGAATATAAAACAAAAAAAGAACGTAAACATACAGCATTATTAAGAAATAAAATAGGAAATACTGGAACAAGAGGTAAATTAGTACGAAGTTTAGTAAGTGATGGAATATCATCTACTGGAAAAGTTTTATCTAAAGGTTTTCCTAATTCATCTCAAATGATAAATAATCCCCTTATATCAAAACGAACAAAGATGATGAAATCAAAAAACACTTCATCAATTCTATCTTCACAATTAACTAAACCAGAAGTTACTGTATACGATCGTATGTCTAGTCAATTTGGATGGAGTTCTTCACCAAGATGGCATTTTATAACTGGAGTTTATTCATCTCCATCAATGAAATTCTGTCTACATTCAATATTTCATTTATTATTTTTAGTATTATTTTCAATTGTATGTGTATATAACTTACATTTTGCTTTTAGTCGTATGGAATTAATTTCATTATCTTATGTATTAGGTTATGCATTTGAAGAGATAAGACAAATGATACTTGAAGCATCACGTGATGGTTTTGGTGATTATTTTCGTGATGGTTGGAATTGGATTGATCTTTTAGCCACTGGTTTAACATTTATCGGTTTTTGTACAAGAATGAATGTAATAGATAAACAAGCTACAGAATTTGAAGAAGCTCATGATGTTGTACTTTATTCAACACGTAATTTATATTTACTTGGTCTTAATCTTTTCTATATGCGTACACTTTATATTACATCAATTTCACCAATTATAGGACCAAGATTAAAAATGATGGCTGATATGTTACGTAAAGATTTAATACCTTTATTATTAGTATTTGCAATATTTATATTCTCTTATGGAGTATGGTTTCAAGGATTAATTTATCCAAATAGTTTTTATGAAACACAAGAACAACGTCAAAGAAAATATTTAATGAATAATAGTGAATTTTCACGTCGAAGAGATATGCAAAGACTTGGATTATTAACATCATTCAGTGAATTATTTCGACGATCATTTTATAGTATATTTGAAGTAAGCATTGTATTAGAAGAAGAAACATGTGAAGGTAATAGATATTGTGGAAGTGAATTTGGTTTTCATACAGTAATCTTTTTTGTACTTGTATTATATGTTGGTATTGTTAATATTATTTTAATCAATCTACTCATTGCATTATTCAGTAATACAGTATCAAGGATAGATCAAAGATCAACAGCTCATTGGTTAGCTGGACGATATAAAATGGTTAAAGAATACAGTGAACGAACTATGTTACCTCCACCATTGAATACACTTTGTATAATATATGAATTGATACGATGTTTCTATATTGGTACTAGTCAATGTATATGTAAAGATATAAAACATTCATATCAAAGAGATATAACAATATTTGGTAAACAATTGAATAATGAAATAGATGGACAAGAGAATGATTCACTTGAAGAAGATAATGAAAATAATAAAAAGATTTTAACTCGACAAAATCAACTCATTAAAATAAAACAGAAAAATAATGAAAGAATTAAAAGATTAATGGGTGAATCAGATGATTATGGTAAATCATATAAACAAGAGATTGATGCAGTATTGAAATTTATTCTTATTCAAAGTTTTGCATTACAAAATAGTAGACATACATTAGGCACTGGAATCACTTTTAGAGGACCTTATACTAGTCAAACAATCAATAATTCTACTAGATCAATTAATAATGAAAATATACAAATGAATAGTAATCAGATAGATAATAGATTACAACATATTGAAAGTATACTAGAAAATCTTGTTGATTATATTCATCAAATGAAAATGATAGACTCTATATATAATACACCAAATACACATTCACCTATACCATTACGTATGCCATCTGTAAAATTAACTCATGTACCTAGTGAATCACCAATTCAAAGAATAAAAATACCAACATCTAAAGAATTATTTCAACAAATTAATGAAGAAAAACAAAATGAAAATCAACTTGATAAATATATTATGCCTAAAAAATTACCATCTATAAAAATACACAAATCATCATAGTCTATAGTATTTTTTTTCCCTTATAAAATACTAATATTTTGAAAATCGTTCCATTTAATAAATATTCAAGGTCAACTTATCATTACTAAACATTCATAGCAATTTATATGGATTAAAACACCGAAACAACCAATCATAAAAGAGATTATATGATACAATCTTTATTGAAATACAAGGTGATACTTTTCATTACTGAAAACAATATACATTCGGTCAATTTAACTACTACTACTACTACCATAATAATGATAATATCAGTTTAAACAAACGTTAAATAGTGAAGTACCTAGTTTGTTTTTTTTAAAGAAAAAATGTAGTTTCATGTTTTTCTTTCTTTAAAACTCATTTTGTTTTTTTTTTTTCATATTAATCAATCAATTTTATTTCTGTAAACAAATTACATCAATTTATTTACAGATTTTGTTTAAATGTATTCATTGTTCAATTGAATTTTGAATTGAATAAATGAATATTAAGGGTATTTGTTTATTTGATTAATTGGTTGTTTAATGGCAGACAATTTATTCCTATTGTACAATTATAGTGTATTACAGGTTGATTTCATTGTAAATTTCTAATCAATTTCAATTGTCTTGATATTTTAAATAAGATAACTCATCTTCATTTAGTTTTCATTTAGTTTTTAAAAAAAAAAATTATTTTAACTGTAATGTAAAATATGTTTTAGTATAGTTTGTTAAATAGTTGTTCATTGGACTACTTAATATTGGTTTGCTATATAAATATAAACTATTAAAGATTAATGAGTAAACATAATTCTATGCATTTTATGCACAGATTATTCTTAAGTATTCCTGGAATAAAAAAAGAACAGAGTCGAGTATGGTTTAAGGTATACTGATAATTTACCAGTCAACATATATCTCATTATCTATATTCTTAATCATAAAAATAATAATAATAGTAATAATAATAATAATAATAATGGCTTTGTTCCGAAATCTATTTCAGGAATACTATACACAATTTCCAGTAACTCATATAGTATCATTTTGACAGGAACATTGTGCATATCTACATTATAAGATGAAAAACGTATTAATCATATAAAAAAGACAAGAATATTTACTCAATCGGTAACTTTCTTGAAAATGAAGAGTTAACTTAGGTAGACAATCACATTAGCAATTCGATTCATAACAGCAAGCTGTGTACTCATTAATTAGTTTGCTTCAAAAGTAGTATTCATCATGGACTGACATCATTTAGGGAAGCATTGAAAATCTGGGAGGACTGGACAGCTGTTTCGTCCAACTAGTATGGGACTTCTCATCAATACGCTTCCAGATGGATATCAGGAAGCTGTAATGAGAAGCCGTGACCTGTAGGGTCAACCAATCGGAAGTGAAGTGGATGCTAACTGAAGACAATGGGTGATAGTTGCTCTGTAATGTGAATTGACAGAAGTTGGAAATTGTGAACCACTGGAATCTGACCCAGTGACTGAAACAACCAATCATAAAAGAGATTATATGATAAAATCTTTACTGGAATACAACGTGATACTTTTCATTACTGAAAACAATATACATTCGGTCAATTTAACTACTACTACTACTACTCAGTCGTTTTTCTTTGAGTAAATGATATTTTGCAGACTTCTTTTTACCATAATAATGATAATATCAGTTTAAACAAACGTTAAATAGTGAAGTACCTAGTTTGTTTTTTTTAAAGAAAAAATGTAGTTTCATGTTTTTCTTTCTTTAAAACTCATTTTGTTTTTTTTTTTTCATATTAATCAATCAATTTTATTTCTGTAAACAAATTACATCAATTTATTTACAGATTTTGTTTAAATGTATTCATTGTTCAATTGAATTTCGAATTGAATAAATGAATATTAAGGGTATTTGTTTATTTGATTAATTGGTTGTTTAATGACAGACAATTTATTCCTATTGTACAATTATAGTGTATTATAGGTTGATTTCATTGTAAATTTCTAATCAATTTCAATTGTCTTGATATTTTAAATAAGATAACTCATCTTCATTTAGTTTTCATTTAGTTTTTTAAAAAAAAAATTATTTTAACTGTAATGTAAAATATGTTTTAGTATAGTTTGTTAAATAGTTGTTCATTGGACTACTTAATATTGGTTTGCTATATAAATATAAACTATTAAAGATTAATGAGTAAACATAATTCTATGCATTTTATGCACAGATTATTCTTAAGTATTCCTGGAATAAAAAAAGAACAGAGTCGAGTATGGTTTAAGGTATACTGATAATTTACCAGTCAACATATATCTCCTTATCTATACTCTTAATCATAAAAATAATAATAATAATAGTAATAATAATAATAATGGCTTTATTCCAAAATTTATTTCATGAGTACTAAACACAATTTCCAGTAACTCATATAGCATCATTTTGACAGGAACATTGTGCATATCTACATTATAAGATGAAAAACGTATTAATCATATACAAAAGACAAGAATATTTACTCAATCGGTAACTTTCTTGAAAATGAAGAGTTAACTTAGGTAGATAATCACATTAGCAATTCAATTCATAATAGCAAGCTGTGTACTCATTAATTAGTTTGCTTCAAAAGTAGTATTCATCATGGACTGACATCATTTAGGGAAGCAATGAAAATCTGGGAGCATTGGACAGCTGTTTCGTCCAACTAGTATGGAACTTCTCATCAATACGCTTCCAGATGGATATCAGGAAGCTGTAATGAGAAGCCGTAACCTGTGGGGTCAACCAATTGGAAGTGAAGTGGATGCTAACTGAAGACATTGGGTGATAGTTGCTCTGTAATGTGAATTGACAGAAGTTGGAAATTGTGAACCACTGGAATCTGACCCAGTGGCTGAAACAACCAATAATAATAGAGATTATATGATAAAATCTTTACTGGAATACAACGTGATACTTTTCATTACTGAAAACAATATACATTCGGTCAATTTAACTACTACTACTACTCATACTGCTACTACTAAGTCGATTTTCCTTGAGTAAATGATATTTTGCAGACTTCTTTTTACCATAATAATGATAATATCAGTTTAAACAAACGTTAAATAGTGAAGTACCTAGTTATTTTTTTTAAAGAAAAAATGTAGTTTCATGTTTTTCTTTCTTTAAAACTCATTTTGTTTTTTTTTTTTCTTATTGATCAATCAATTTTATTTCTGTAAACAAATTACATCAATTTATTTATAGATTTTGTTTAAATGTATTCATTGTTCAATTGAATTTTGAATTGAATAAATGAATATTAAGGGTATTTGTTTATTTAATTAATTGGTTGTTTAATGACAGACAATTTATTCCTATTGTACAATTATAGTGTATTACAGGTTGATTTCATTGTAAATTTCTAATCAATTTCAATTGTCTTGATATTTTAAATAAGATAACTCATCTTCATTTAGTTTTCATTTAGTTTCTTAGAAAAAAAAAATTATTTTAACTGTAATGTAAAATATGTTTTAGTATAGTTTGTTAAATAGTTGTTCATTGGACTACTTAATATTGGTTTGCTATATAAATATAAACTATTAAAGATAAATGAGTAAACATAATTCTATGCATTTTATGCACAGATTATTCTTAAGTATTCCTGGAATAAAAAAAGAACAGAGTCGAGTATGGTTTAAGGTATACTGATAATTTACCAGTCAACATATATCTCCTTATCTATACTCTTAATCATAAAAATAATAATAATAATAGTAATAATAATAATAATAATGGCTTTGTTCCGAAATCTATTTCAGGAATACTATACACAATTTCCAGTAACTCATATAGCATCATTTTGACAGGAACATTGTGCATATCTACATTATAAGATGAAAAACGTATTAATCATATACAAAAGACAAGAATATTTACTCAATCGGTAACTTTCTTGAAAATGAAGAGTTAACTTAGGTAGACAATCACATTAGCAATTCAATTCATAATAGTAAGCTGTGTACTCATTAATTAGTTTGCTTCAAAAGTAGTATTCATCATGGACTGACATCATTTAGGGAAGCATTGAAAATCTGGGAGCATTGGACAGCTGTTTCGTCCAACTAGTATGGTACTCCTCAGAAGTACGCTTCCAGATGGATATCAGGAAGCTGTAATGAGAAGCCGTGACCTGTGGGGTCAACCAATCGGAAGTGAAGTGGATGCTAACTGAAGACAATGGGTGATAGTTGCTCTGTAATGTGAATTGACAGAAGTTGGAAATTGTGAACCACTGGAATCTGACCCAGTGGCTGAAACAACCAATAATAATAGAGATTATATGATAAAATCTTTACTGGAATACAACGTGATACTTTTCATTACTGAAAACAATATACATTCGGTCAATTTAACTACTACTACTACTCATACTACTAGTACTATTACTCAGTCGGTTTTCCTTGAGTAAATGATATTTTGCAGACTTCTTTTTACCATAATAATGATAATATCAGTTTAAACAAACGTTAAATAGTGAAGTACCTAGTTATTTTTTTTAAAGAAAAAATGTAGTTTCATGTTTTTCTTTCTTTAAAACTCATTTTGTTTTTTTTTTTTCTTATTGATCAATCAATTTTATTTCTGTAAACAAATTACATCAATTTATTTATAGATTTTGTTTAAATGTATTCATTGTTCAATTGAATTTTGAATTGAATAAATGAATATTAAGGGTATTTGTTTATTTAATTAATTGGTTGTTTAATGACAGACAATTTATTCCTATTGTACAATTATAGTGTATTACAGGTTGATTTCATTGTAAATTTCTAATCAATTTCAATTGTCTTGATATTTTAAATAAGATAACTCATCTTCATTTAGTTTTCATTTAGTTTCTTAGAAAAAAAAAATTATTTTAACTGTAATGTAAAATATGTTTTAGTATAGTTTGTTAAATAGTTGTTCATTGGACTACTTAATATTGGTTTGCTATATAAATATAAACTATTAAAGATAAATGAGTAAACATAATTCTATGCATTTTATGCACAGATTATTCTTAAGTATTCCTGGAATAAAAAAAGAACAGAGTCGAGTATGGTTTAAGGTATACTGATAATTTACCAGTCAACATATATCTCCTTATCTATACTCTTAATCATAAAAATAATAATAATAATAGTAATAATAATAATAATAATGGCTTTGTTCCGAAATCTATTTCAGGAATACTATACACAATTTCCAGTAACTCATATAGCATCATTTTGACAGGAACATTGTGCATATCTACATTATAAGATGAAAAACGTATTAATCATATACAAAAGACAAGAATATTTACTCAATCGGTAACTTTCTTGAAAATGAAGAGTTAACTTAGGTAGACAATCACATTAGCAATTCAATTCATAATAGTAAGCTGTGTACTCATTAATTAGTTTGCTTCAAAAGTAGTATTCATCATGGACTGACATCATTTAGGGAAGCATTGAAAATCTGGGAGCATTGGACAGCTGTTTCGTCCAACTAGTATGGTACTCCTCAGAAGTACGCTTCCAGATGGATATCAGGAAGCTGTAATGAGAAGCCGTGACCTGTGGGGTCAACCAATCGGAAGTGAAGTGGATGCTAACTGAAGACAATGGGTGATAGTTGCTCTGTAATGTGAATTGACAGAAGTTGGAAATTGTGAACCACTGGAATCTGACCCAGTGGCTGAAACAACCAATAATAATAGAGATTATATGATAAAATCTTTACTGGAATACAACGTGATACTTTTCATTACTGAAAACAATATACATTCGGTCAATTTAACTACTACTACTACTCATACTACTAGTACTATTACTCAGTCGGTTTTCCTTGAGTAAATGATATTTTGCAGACTTCTTTTTACCATAATAATGATAATATCAGTTTAAACAAACGTTAAATAGTGAAGTACCTAGTTATTTTTTTTAAAGAAAAAATGTAGTTTC